GATTTAGGTTACGTCTTTACCTTGTTTCTTGTTGTAGAATTCTCAAGGTATTGCTAAGAAGGTGGACAAAATTACCTGCAATTGAAGATTTAACATGATAATAAATATCTGTTCGTAGCTAAGTACAAAGCTATACAATAGGCTATCTGTGCGCCCATCGCGGGTATCAAAGCCTAAGTTTTAGCATTATAAGCTCCCCCAATCTGACTGTTGAGCCACAGTTGGACATGATAATAAATTCTAGCTATTTATAACACTTAAAAATTTGGAAATTACCTTCTTATAGATTCAACGTTTGGAAACGGTTTTTATCTCCACGAGAAAAGAAAGAACCATGGAGCAAATCTTGCAGGTGACAATTCTTATGAAAGATGAATTAATTCGCTGCATTATGGTTGTTTGCCTTCTTAATCCCTGTAACATAATTAATAATGTAATATTGAAAAAAAGACTTTAGACCACCAATCTCAATATTCACTTAAAGTTTAAAATTAAGAATGAAATAACAATATCACGACATCTCTTGAACTGTGTTTGATAGATGTAGGAGAAAAAGTAAATGTATCTTTTTCGCGTGATTTAAACTGGAATATTGAAGAAGTACTCAAGTCAGTCGTTAGTCACACGCACGTGCTCTTCGAACGGACAACAGTAGTCTATTTCAACAATATCTCTCCTTCTAGATTGATACTTAAGCTTATGCTCCTGAACTCTAAATGTATTGACTAGTATCAGTGAATCATAATCCAGTTGTCATTGACGATTCGAAACTTCTAGGTACAGAAAGCAAGAACGAACATTTATGTCATTATTATATCCGATAAGGTACAGAAAAGGCCAAATAACAAGTCCGACTAGGATCTTGCACACTCGGGAAATATATCGTCTAGAAACGCCTCATTGAAAACAACGAATCCTGTCAGATTCTAATTCACTTTAAAAAAATCCAGATATAAATCCATTCGACTTTTGCACTAACAAACTGTGAGGAATTCGGATAAGACGAAACACTGCGTGACTTTTCATTTTAAAGTCCTTTCTATTGCACATAACAAGATTTCTTTAAATGTTTGAAATTTCCTTCTCTTTTTTTCCTCTGTCTTTTGTATGTGTTTTTGATGTAAAATCCTTCATAAGAATTAATCAGGTTTTGTATGATAACTAGAAAAAAAATGTTTTAGGGAAGGTTGAAATTTTTTAGCCTTCCAGTGTTATGCTTGTAATTCAGTTACATTAAAAGGAGTTTAAAATTTAATGTGGAAATCAATGAAACTAATACACAAAAAGTATATATTTAATTCGTGCGTGTAATCGTTGTACTCTTTACTCATTTCTACGACGCGATCGTGGCTTAGTAATTAGGGTTCTATGTTCGAAGCCCGTTGCCGCAAAAACGCGCTCTGCACTTTGGCCCTGGTTTTATGACAGTGACGGTCAAATCTCTTTGTTCAGCCAGACACGAGTAGCCCTCAGGTGCTGTTAACTTCAGGTACATCTATGCGCAGATACCCCTTTTTGTAGCTTTGCGCAGATTTACTGAAACAGGCAAATAAACCTGTCACTCCTCCCCTCATCCTGCCTCGTAATGGGACAGCTGTAAGTCTACGGACTTACTACGCTAAAATTCGAGGTTAAATTCCTCGCGGTGAACACAGCAGATAAACCAATGCGACTTTGCTTTAAACAAACAAACCCTCCAAGATCTCAGTAATTTTCTTTTAATGACAGTTCTCTTTCTTTTGGAAGTACAAACAATTTTCCTTAATAATTGTACTGGTGTGTGATAAATTTGAACTTATTTTAGTAAATAAAAATAAGGTTGTCAACCCTTGTTTGCATGATCATTATCACATAGGCTTGATCACCTCAATACAGTTCTGTTCATATGAAATCATATATTTGATCCCCGGAACTAAGCTCACATAACTGTACTTAAAAGTTACCTTATTAGTCTCCACTACGTTTAGTATTTTTCTGATTTATAATTAACATCAGATAGTAATGTTTATTTTCTAATGTTACAGGTTTCGTACTATGTCAGAATAATCAGTTAGCTACATGTAATCGATTAATAAGCACAGTGATCAATCAGTTAGAAAACTGCATTAATTACACTTTTCTACCGCATACTCTTTTACCAACAAATAGTGGGATTGATCACAACTTTATAACGCACCTTACTTTATACCGAATTTATTAAGATACTCAATACTTTCAGCTTATTGTCTGTATATATATATATTTTGGTGTTTTCAACCGCGGCATAGCGACTCACAGAATGGCTCTGAGTTGTTTTTTTTTTTCATTTACAAACTTTTAGATCATAGCTCCGTCATCTCTTGACCGATTTCAGATCTAATTACAGTTTTATACCCAGGAGATCAAACCCCTTTGATTGGTGTATTTGACCACGCCCAAAATCTCATAGATTAATTTACTCTAATTCTGCCTGAAATAATTTCAATTTGAGGGTAGGCTGAAAGAGATCCTGATGAGTAATAAAATTGAATCCGGTAAAAGCGCGGCTCACGCTTGGCATTGCTGGCGCACAAAAATCAATATGTATAAAAGCCAAGTGTCGGTAGGTCAGTCTGTCGGTCACGCTCGATTTCTCCGAATTTCGTAAGTTACACAAGTCCAATTCCACTTTTTCTCCGATAATATTTCCTCTTTTGATTGTCCGTTCCCATTTCAGTTGAATTTAATCGCTAATATAGGCGTGATTAGCTTCAAATTTCGGCACTTTTTCTGCTATATAAACCCTCGTCAAGGAGGGAGTTCTCAGGACCAGATCAGGCATGGCGTTATGTGTAGCAAACATGCTACATATTGGAGCCTTGTGATAAAAGATTAAAACACACGATGATTATGTGATTGCATACACTCCTGTTTCTCTTCTGAGGAAAAGTCATCCTCTTCTCTACAGATAATTGGTATTTCCAGTCTGTTTTAACAAATAAATTTTTCATAACAATTCCAAAGCATAGATTTGCGCTAATTTTTTACTTATTTTTCACAGTCATCAGTAGGGAGCGAATGCACTTCCTTGTCTTTTATTTCTATGTTAACTAACAATTATGAATTAC